ATGCATAAGCTCCCACTGTGATGAGTCATTTCATTCTGAAAATATTTTAATGATGGGAGTACATGTGCTTTGATATCTACAGGATAACAGGGCTTTGTAGAAAGAGTGACACCCACCATCCTGCTCCTTCTCTTCTGTCTCCTCCCACTCCACTTCCTTTCCTTCCCCCGGGGAGGTTTGTCTTCTTCTGCCCCCTCCGACGGCTTTTATGTCTGATGAGGATCTGTGCTGTTCAGGTGAGGATGAGGTCAACTGACTTCAAATGTTGTACTGAGGAAATAACATTGTCAATGAATAAAGTTTAACACACTTGAACGAATGTCTGAACACTGTTGTTTGTCTTGTAAATCCTTGTGGAGTTCATCCTGATAAAAAGACTGACAGTAAATATGCCGGCACTGTAAAATCATGTAGTATTATGATATCATATGAGCTAGAAGATGTACGATGCTTTATTTACAGTATTTAGCACCACAATAAAAGCATGTATTTACCATAAATCCTAGATACTGTGTGTGTGGTTTGATCTACATTAGTGGATAGTGGAGGAATTCCATGCGGTGCCATTCTGTCTGTGCTGTCTCCTCTTCTCACCTGTTGAGACCGTGATTAGATACTGTCAACCCTCAGGCCATAGGTACGGCAGAGTCTGGCTGCAGCTTTGCCTTACACTGTGGGATGGGAGAGAGCCGGTGAACTCCAGAAACCGCAGACGGTGCTGAAAGTTTGTTTCACACTAATGAGCAATCTGTCAACAAGTGTGTGCTACAGGGAACTTGGAAAAAAAGAGAAACATGTAGATTATAAGGCGGAAATAGTTGTATGAATCCATTTCCCTGTCACACGCATAAACACACCAACCTTCTTGACAAAACAGATCTGTTTACAGGTGTCATAGCTCTCAACCTAACAATTTTTTTTATGTTGCAGTGTTCAATACATTGTGTTGCTGTGATTTAAAGGAATAGTTCCACATTATTGTAATGTGTTTTTATGTTTGTATCCTTGTTTTGCATACATTGTTAGTAATGAATCATCACATTAAACAACGCTGCAGATGTTACAAACATGTCAGCATTGAAACATTTGATTTATCCACTTCAATTCAACAAAACTGATTTAATTGTACAAATTTGTAATCTCTTTCAAAAGTATGGCAACTTGTTGTTTATGAGGTTTACAATTATTCTCGGTGTTGATGTTTGGCCTACATTAGCCATAAAGAAAATATTTTCACAACTTGGGAAATACATTTATTTGCTTTTTTTGCCCAGATTGATACAAGTAGGGAGCATGGCTGTGTGTTGATTAGTCTAGGTTATCTTAAAGACTTGGTTTGTAAACCTCTGAACACAGTGTAGACTAAGAATGTGTTTATCAAAATTATCAGCCTGCAAATCAGATTTCTTTTAGTTGGCAGATGCGGTTAAATGCTCAGAAAACATCTAGTAAGCGGACATTAAAACCAAATACAAGGTTAAAGAATGAATGAACATTCATGCGTAAATAAGCTGCTTGATTTTTGTTAAGTTTACTTTCTAGTACTGTGTTGTAAGTAGCAATATAAAAACATTTTGATTAGGTTGTGGCTTCCGTTAACGTTATAGTGGAATCATCGCCCGGTATCGAGCTTCCTTCCGGTTGTCAGAAAAACGCAGTCGCGTGTGCGCGTTTACATTGCGTGGTGCGTGCTCAACATAACGTGTACATGTCTAAAGCCCTTGGCCTCAAATAGAAATGTACCTGTCTAAAGCCCTTGGCCTCAAATAGAACCTCGTGCTTAAGTTGTTGTTTTTACTTTATGTGGTCAAACATGTTTGGCTTCTGAAACGTAATGAAAACCTGCTGTCGTTCTTATCAGCGTCAACTGGACCATGGTACGTTTCAACAAACATTTCTTAGCCTTCGACCTGCCATCTCAATGTTGCCACAGTATTTGTTTGCTGCTACACCCCACTTAATACACCGAAGTCTAGTTTTCTGTAGTAAATCAAAATGCATATTCGCCCGGATTACACGAAAACTTTCTTTAACATGCACAAAGCAGAAGACAGTATTGTTTTTGTGAAAGTGGTCCATTCACCTCATTTATGTTGGTGGGGGGGCAGGCAGAAATCTCAAAGGAATCTCAAAAACCTTGGCACAAAAATAATCTGCATCACTAAATTCCAGTAGGTGTAAGTGAGAAAATGGTTTGTGTATTTTAGTGAACTGACCCTTTAAGTAAATATTATTAGTCTAAGGTACCATAACAGAGCTATACTGTGTATCGTTGACCTTGCAGTCTCTTAAACAAGATGGTCCCTGCTTGTGCACTGAAGGGGTCCATCTTGCAAGCAGGGAGGCTGACAGCATAGGCTTGACCCTGCGCTGGGGCTTGTTGTGGCATTGCCTCTCTGGAGGTTGGCTGGCTGGGCTCTGTCTGGGCCGCGCCGCTCTCTAATCACCCTGACACTGCACTCACAGGGCTGACAGCTATGGCGCCAGAGAGAGGGGGAGAGGGAGATTGTACACGTGACAAGGCCCACCTTGGCTCTCCCCTTGTTCCCTCTCAAGATAACCACTTTCTATTGATTTTGTTTGGAGCACACTGATCCCTGTTACCTTTAAACCTTTCTGATACTGCTTGTCACAATATCGAAGGGCCACAGCAGATCTGTTACCTTCCTTGATCCACTTAATAATGCATATT